AGTGGCCCTCTTTCCAGCTTTAAGATGTCCTTTGGCATTCAGAATGCCCTTGGCCTTTCAGACCAAGTCTCCAACTTCATCACTTTGTACCTGTTAGTACTACACAAGAGAGAGTCATTTTTAGGGATTTTTCCTTCTTTGTTAATTCTGAATAAATAAAATAAATGCTGATATAAACGTGTGATAATATATTAAGAAGGACTACAAAGACAGCTGAAAGTCCACCTAATGAAATAAGACAAACTCTGAATTACACACCAAGATAAACTATATTCAGAGCTAAAGTTTTCTACCTTGCAAATCACTGAACATTATCTAGAATATTTTAGGTTCTTAGTAAAGACTTGGAGTATGAGTTAATGGATAAGTTCACTTTCTCATATCAGCAAACCTATTTATGGAAACTGGATCTAGGACATTCTCCCCTTTCCACCTTTGAATCCTCACATCACACTAACACTAAGGGCAAAAAATCCCCATGCTGTCCCCACTTGCTACAGAGGTCAGTTTTATCTTTAGAAGATATTTTACCAACTCTGGAGGCCCCATCTCTAAGGCACTATTACTGCCAACACACACACATGAACCATTTAGCTGCTGGCATCTGAGAAAGAGTAAGGGTAAGAGACTATGAAAGGGGGTGAGGAAGACATGTATATCTTTGTCCCACCCAAAATAAATGGAACTCTTTAGAGGGACATGGTGAGAAGCAACTCAGTGTTCAATCTGAGATAAGTGCACTGAAATATGAACATCACAGCCATGTGATGCAACCAACCAAAGCATCTATGCAGGTGGAGGAAGGAAGGTAACCCACTGCCTGCTTCTCCAATGCCAGTGATCCATCTTTTGTGCTTCATCCTTCTCTACATACCCCTGTCTCTCTCCCTCTTTCGCTATGACTTCCATGTGTGTACATTCATGTCTTCTTTCATATACTTCAGTTTGACCCTTCTCCAAGCTATGTTCTTAAGTCTTCTGCTCCTATTAGTTGGTACTCTGTTAACTGTCTTTTTCACATATGCTGGATGATGAAATAATATCAAAACTGGAATATTCAATCCTCAAAAGCCTTTCTGCTCCACTGTTCCATAATGTTCAGAGGTGGGTGCTCAGACACTATGTTACAACTAAGGGCATGAGAACTGCTTTCTTTCTTACAAATCCAATCCGGTCTCCTAATTCTCTTTTTTTTTTTAAAGTAAAGTCAATATTTTCTAGTTCTTAGGTCATAAGATAGCTGGGTATATTCTGGAAGCTTCCTTCTCTCTAGCGTTCAGGCCAAATAAAAGTGGAACTTTCATACTTACCTTAGGTAGATATATTTGAACTGTTCAAATATTGCAATGAAATATTTTTCACCATTTTCCTGGAAATTCAGCATGTTTGAAAGAAATTTTATAACACAGTTTTGAGAAATAATGAATAAGAAATCTATATAAGCATCACTGCGACGATGAACATTAAAGACTCTGGTGGGCACTCCTGATTTTGTATTCTTTGTGAACATGCTTTCAAACTCCTTGTTTACTGTAGCCTTATTTCTTTGTTATTGTTTATTTGCAAGTCAACCATGTTTTTCTCTGTTTTGCATGTCTATGCAATGTCAAGAGCAGGAGCCACACCCAAAGTCATCTATGGTTTGCTTACTTCCCCCAGTGTGATCTTAGTGAGATCCAATCTGTTGATGAGCATCATGTTGATTTCTCCCTTCTCAGAAACACAGTTTCCTCCTGCATGGATGAACCCTGTGTATTTGCCTATACTACTCTTGAACTTCTGGATGGTTCCCAGATATCATTTCTATCATCATTGTTGCTATAAATATGGGTTTTCTAACACATGAACATAATCAGTAAATATCAAAGAGGGAAGAATTATTATATCATAGAATATGTGGTTGTTTAACCAGCTAATTATATTCCAAAACAGGCATTATGGTTTCACTCTCTCCTCTCTCCTTTAGTTGGGTACCGGAAAATGGTTTTTCTGTGTGGTCAAGTATTCAGATGTACTACAGAGACATTTGATTGGTTCATACAAAGTGGGTAACTAGTAAAAGTTGGGCAGGATATTGGAGTGGGTCACCATCTAGCAGGTAGGGGATATTAAAATAAAATATATTGTATTTCACTGATTACTAAGACCACAGATACAAAGTAAACAATCTGTTCTCCAAGACTTCCACCATAGACTTTGCTACCAAGAGTGATTTTGAAACATCACCACCTAAGTCACCTCAATATATTTTACCATGAATTGTGAAAATAGCACAGCCAATTTTATCTATTTAATTTGATCAGCAATTAAGAAATGCCTATTTTAAAGCTAACCAACATATTTAAAGTCCTTTCTACCAATAGCATCACTTATCCAGAATAAGGCCTCTAACTAGCTCAATGCTAGACTAAAAAACTATGGAAAGAAAGAAGGGATAAAGCACAAAGAAATTTTTTTAGATACATATACAATGGTCACATCTCACCCTTGTATGGCCTAAAGTCTCGTGTCTCCCCAGATATTACTTAACATTCAACTATGGTGCTACAGAAGACTTTACAGTGCATGGCAACCCCATGTGGGGATATCCTGAAGGCAATGTCCATGTCCAAGTGTACCGTAGGGAAGAATTAGGAAATCTATCTAAGGCACTGAAAGAAGATTCCCTCAGCCATAAAGAATTACTAGTGAAGAATAGAAGTCAGTATTAATGATGAGAGTGTGGTGTCACTGCTTCCCGTGAAATTCTGGCAATGTTATGCCCATTAGGATCTCTGATCTTTAAGTTTATTTCCTTTTAATGTTAAATATATCAAATCTTTCTTTATATTAGAATTCCGATGATCTATTATGCACATTAAAATTTCTGTATTTTTAAGTTTGTTCTTTTTTTAGTATTAAACAGATCAACTTTAAAATATAGTACTTATAGATCTTGTTAAGTTGTGAATAAAGTATAAAAGAAACTTTTTATGAGTCTGACACACTACCTACGGTGCTAATGAGACTCCTTAAAAGGATATTTTTAAGTACATTTTAAGGCATTTTAAGTATATTTTAAAATATAACAAATAGGTTTAATTTTGCCATTATGATTAAAAACTCTACCCTTCCAAATCTCAAAATAATGTAGACCATATACCCTATCCCATTACAGCAATATGTTCTTCAAAGATAAAAATCATTACTTTTTAAAGCACAAAACATGTTTCAGGATTCCACCATGAGGGACACATAAGAAAATAAAGAACCCAGCAGCCCTTACTCTGGCAACCAATAAATCTTTCACCATTTTGTTTTCAAATGCCCCTGAGGCTCACCTGTTACTGACATAGAAAAGTAAAGAGGACAGCAAATCTGAGTGATACAATGTGAAAAAACTTCTCAAACTCTTCCAAAACTGAAGCCAAAAATCAACAACGGCTTGACAGTTTAGCTCCATACCCTGTGCTAAACATTCAGAGATGCCTTCTCTAAATACAACGTATATCTTCTCTCCTATGACACATACCAAAATATCGGATGTGCGAGAGAAACTACAAACCCTGATACCACAAGCCAAGAAGGGGCACTCCTTTCCTCCAGCCTGACAGCTGAGGCCACATGTGAAATACATCACCCTATTTCAAGGCCCATCACTTATAGCCTTTTTTTGGAAATATGGGTCAAAGTAGATGTTAAACTTAAAAGTAGCAGAAAGCATTTAAATGGGCTCTGTGCATGGTGACAAACAGGTTCCTTAGTGGTAAAATAAATCTTTTAATATAGGTGTTCAAAGATATTTTGTTAATAGTAAATTAGTTAAGATTAGCTATACCCAAGTGTCATTTCTTCCTGATCATTTCTTATTCCTCTTGCATCATGACTATTGTTCTTTCAGAATATTCATTACTGGAGAAAAGAAAGGCTTGGCATCATACGGCACAAAACTTTCCCCTTTTTGTGTACATGGGAATGACCTGAAGTGTAAGAAACTATGATTTCAAATCTTTCCCTTTTTACTGATATCTAAAAAGTCTGTGAATAATTTTGTGCCAAAACATAGAAAATACCACCAGGCTGTGATAGTGCATGCCTTTAATCCCAGCTCTCAGGAGGTAGTGGCAGACAGATCTCTGTGAGTTTGAGGCCAGCCTGATCTACAAGAGCTAATTCCAGGACAGGCTCCAAAACAACAGAGAAACCCTGTCTCAAAAAAACAAAACAAAAAATAATAAGAAATATCAATAATAGTGATGGTAACAATACCCTATTCTTCAAGGGCCATGGGCCAAGTTATTTGAATATATTATCCCTAAACATTCAACAAGAAAATTATTATTATCTTGACAAGTTGTTTGATTACTTTAAATTGAGCAAGACTAAACCACTAACACAGGATTTTACAGAAAATGATGGCTATAAAACCCAGGTTTCTTGATGTATCGTACCTAATCTATGTTGCCATATGAGAAGAATCAAAGCAAAGTCACCAGCATACTTAATATAAATCATTATTCTCTTTCTGATACATCAATCAGTTTCTAAAAGAAGTACATAGGTTGAAGATGGACTCTGTCTTAAACTTTGCTCAGAATTTGCTAATAAATTCAGATTGAAACATGCAGGAAAGATTCTAGCTATCCAGGGGCTCAGATTTATTGCCAAATGCTCAGCAAAATGAAATGGTATCTCACACTAAGATAAACTTTGAAAGAAGGGACAGGCTGTGAATCTACAAGTTGGCAACATCACTTGAATCTAACCTTATATCGTCGTAAAGATTATGTAAATCTGCTCACCTTTCTACATCTCTGAAACCAGTAAGACATCTCCACTCAGAAATGTCAGCAATTGAGAAAAATGGGAATGGTTTACAACATTACTCTCTGAGGAAACATATCATCAAAGAACGTAGAAATGAAACAGGAAGAAGAGCAGAATAGTGCTTTAAGGTTTTAGTTAGATTTCTTAGAATTAAACATTCTAAGTAGAGAAAAGGAAAGTAAGTTTTTCCTTACCTGACTGGACCACCTTTATCTTCTTTTCCCAAGGTCCTCCTGGGAAAGAATGAAACAAGCAGGAGTAGATGCCAATGTCTGCTTCAGAGGCATTGTAAAAGGAAAGACTCATATTGCGGAACTCCAATGTTGCATTCAGAAAGTGCACTCTATGGAAGTAGTTGTGATCTATATGCATAGGATGGTTTGGGTTGTAAACAGCTATGTTCACAGTCTCTGTGCCATTGATCTTGGTCCATTCAACCTGGGTTAAGTTGTCCATCAATGGATACACACATTCCAGAGTCATGGTCTTAGAGAGTTGAACAGCTGTGTCCCAAAAGATCACTTCACACAGTGCTAAAATAATACATCACATAAACTGAGTTAGATCCAACGATGACAAAACCAAATAGATAAATTTTACAAGACTTAACAAATAATCTAACAAGTTCATAGTGAGCCCTGAAAATTTCACCTACAAAATTGGCTTTTGTAAATTTTAGTATTTCTGAACAAATCAGAAATTACCCAAGGGAACCTGCACATGTCACACCCAAACACCAAAAGCACAACAAAACTTTTAAATGGAGACATAGGATTGTCTTTACCTTTGTGCACATGAAGAATAGCCAAAAGCAAAGTAATGCAAGCCATCTCTGGAAACAGTTCAGAAGGCTAGCCTGTATAAAAAAAAAAAAAAATAACGCGTATGATGTTATATTCACAACTCAACATGAAGTGCCATTTCCTTCCTCTCAGATGTTATCAGCTGCATCTTTTTCTCTGAAGTTTGAGCACAGGAAAAGTTTTAACTTCAAAAGCAGCCCTGCTCTCATACAGAGATGGGTAAAGTTCAGGTACTTCTCTGGCAGATAATCAGTTTACTTTTAAGAAATAATTTTCAAGAAAGATTCTTTGAGTTGACAGCTCTTTACTGAGTGTGCCCTCCATGTCTCCATGTCAGACTCAGCTCTGTGCAACAAGAATACACAAAACCATATCTTAAAAATAAAATCCCATGCTCCTTTCTTAGGAAGAGACTGAGGCAACACTAAAGGCGCACTAGATATAGCAAGTTGTAGGTGGTAAGTACCTGAAGAAAAGTGAAGCAAAGCAAGAGAGTTGAGCTCTTTTGATATAGGCTGGTCCAGGAACTCCTCACTGAGAAGGTGAATGGAGGTGAGTACTAGATGTTAATGGGAGGAGCCTGCATAGCAGACAGACACTCAGGTGTTGCCTTCCTTGACTGCATCTCCCGGTTAGACTTGACCATATACAAACAAAAGAATGGACTTCCAGCGACAAAAGAATGGTGGCCCAGGACATACAAATATGCCTTTGTATCTGATGATTTTTTTCACTTTTTTATTTTAAAATGATGATGTAGTGCTAAGAAATTAGATATTCCAACCAAGTCGCCTAGGAGGCTGCACCTTATGTAACTATGATCTACCGTCAATATGGAATTCATTATTTCTCTCTTCCTTCTCTAAAAAAAAACAATTCAGGGTTGTGGCAAGATGATTTAGCCAATTTAGAGCCTTGCTACACAGGCCTGAGGACTTGAATTAGGTCCTCAGAATCCACAAAAAGGTAGGAGGACAGAACTGACCACATAAAGTTATACACTATGAGAGCCATGGACTCTGGACTGACAGCTGACTCATTCTATTGGTAGCTAACAGACTTTAACTGACTGCTGGGAAACCTGCAAAGAACCAAACTAGGCCCTCTGAATGTGGGTGACAGTCATTTGGCTTGATCTGTGTGTGGGGCCCCTGGCAGTGGAACCAGGATTTATTCCAGGTGCATGAACTGGCTCTTTGAAGCCCATTCCCTATGGTGGGATACCTTACTCAGCCTTGACGCAGCAGGATGGGCCCTGGTCCTACCTCAATTTGGTATGCCAGACTTTGTTGACTCCCCAAGCTTACCCCTTTTCATAAGTGGATAGGGGTGGGATGAGGGGAAGTGGGGGGTGAGAGAAGGGTAGGGAGGGGGATCTGGAGTTGGTATGAAAAATGAAAAATTTTAATTAAAAAAGACCTGTTCACCTGTGTAATGAAACCTGTAGAAGTAGGAGAACTACTCATGTGAGCACTGAGTTCAGGTGCAGGAATGAGCAACTCATGCAGCTATAAGAGCACCAAGCCAGGAGCTGGGATTTTCAACATTGCTGTAGCTGTGGACAGTAGAGGAAAAATGGATACAAGAAATGGTGGGAGGTGATAGTTTATAGATAGAAGGGGTAAAGTTTTGTTTGCTCTTAAAGATTCTAGGTGATTGCTCTGAATTAATAAAAGGATTACTAAATGCCACCCGCTTTCCTTTTCATGGTTCCTGGGAAATTTGACTTTGTTTGAGTGGCCGCTCCTTTCTCTATACCCAAGATGATGGATCTAACTTGTTCTACTTGGTTGATCTGAGCCAAAGCCTGAGCTGACCCAATTAGAATGAAGGAGATTATTTACATTCTACGCCAGAAAAAGGTTTCCTCTTTCCTCCCCTCCCTGAACGTGAACAAGAAAAAATGCTGTGTGGTCACTACACTACCCTAGGTAGCTATCTAGAAAACCAGTTTGAAGACAATTGTTAGAGGATGAAATAAACTTGCATTTAGAATCATTGAACCAATGAATTTGTCAACTGTGGCATCAGAGTTTACAGTGGGATTTTTTACAATTCATAAGAAGTCCCTGTTACTTCAGCAAACTCAGACATCCAACTTTTAGAACATCTTTATCAACATGTAAACAAGATGAAATGGTGGCCAGGACTTGGATGATTTCCCTGAAGATATGATGGATTCGCTGGCTGCCAATGGATGACCTGTTATCTCAGAGACATAACAGTAACAGGCATCTTTAACTCCATGTGATCTAGACTGAATCCAGTCAGGAAAACATACCTCAAGATTCAGTAGAAGGTACTTTCACAAAAATAAATGACTAGAGAAGTTTATAGATAAAATAAGTAATAATAAAACATATGAGGTGAGAAAGTATCTCAAAGAGAAGCTTTGAAAAAGATCTGTTCCTGTAATAAGCATTAAAGCATCGAGGAAGAGGATTGCACACTCTGGAGGTTGTTGTTTAGAGCTGCAACATTGAAGGAGCTGAAGCTCATATAGACACTGGAAAAGATCAAGGCATGAATCCATCAGGGAAGAAAAGGGGTGAAGGACAAATAAGGAAACTGACAATCTGAAAATTTAAACTGTCACTAGTGAAAGATGCTTAGGAAACACCCACAGCTAATATCACATTCAATGGGGGAAGTCCCTCTGAGAGGAAGACCAAGACAAAGATGCTTGCTTTCACTCCTGCTATTGATATCACTCTCCAGGTTTTACCCAGAGAAAATAAACAAGAAGAAATAAAAGATAGTTACACAGCCAAAGAAGAAGTAATCCTGTCCCCTGCACAGTGACTTCGTGACTTTGTATATTAAACTAAAACATCTACTCAATTCTGTTTAGATAACAGTAAAATTGCATGATAGAAAATGAGTGCATAAAAATCTTTTGTGCCTGTTATTTATTAAAAATAAACCATATGAAAAGAAAGTTTAAAAAACAATTCTATTTATAATCCAAAATATAAACCACATCTGAATAGATTTAACCAAGTATGTGAATCAATACTTTACGTTGAAAATGACAAATATTGCTAGTTTTTAAAAGAAGGTCTGAAAATGAAAAGGCATATGTAAGAAATATATCTAGAATATATCCATGCTCACAAAATGGGAATTTTAACAATGTTACAAAGACAATGTTTCTCAATCAAATCTTGAGCTTACACAGTCCTTAATAAAATTTTAAGTGGCCTTTTGTTAAAAATGGAAAATCTCATCCTGAAATTCATGCAGCATTATAAGGGCTCCTGAACAGCCAACATTTGCCTGAAAAGAAAAGGCTTGGTGATTCCTACATCACATTTAAAACTTAGTTCAAAGCTAATTATCAAGACCTTAATATTGGCATAAGGACAGACATACAAACAAATGGCATTAAAGTGGGAATTAAAAGCTGGGCATTTGAGAGTTGGTATGAAAACCTCGTGCAGTGAACATTTTCTAAAATATATAAAGGCAATCCTAATGATGTCTTGGAAATAATTAGAAATACAGACCCATCTGGACATTGCTTGTAACCAAACCAAAATTCTAGTAGCAGGAATGAATTATATCCAATTGCTTTGTTGACCGCAGGGGTCTCGTGGAAATCCCCAAACAACCCAGGAGATTGCCATGATAATAGGTTGCTCTCAGCAAATGGATAGCAAAACCTCATTGCTAAGGACAACATCCACACAGCTCCTTGAACATGGAATTGTCTAGGTGGTGCCTACAAAGAACCTTCACTCCCATCCAGTGCTCTGGACTGGGGAAGGACTCTGCAGGTTAGGAGAAGAGACACATAAACACCAATCCAACCACAAAACCTCTGATCAACAATTTTTCCTGCCTGAAAAACAAACTAGGGCACTGATGGTACAAGATTTAGGGGAGTAACCAATTAGTGTTCAGTTTGACTTAAGGCCTACTCCATGGAAAGGAACCCATACCCGGCCCTGTTTGCACAATCAAGAACTAGATAGTCCAGAGACTTAGGGTAGAAGAAAATGCTATATTTTGGGTGTTTTAGTAACAAAAAAAGACTCCTAATGACGTGCTATACTCATAGTTCAGTGCCTTATTCAGCCATCATTAGAGAAGCTTCCTTCTGCAGCAGATGTGAACAAATACAGAGACTCACAGTCAGACATTATGCAAAAAGAGAGAGTAAGAGGGGAGTGGGAAGAAATGGGATGCTTCCATCAAATTCCTCCCCTCAGAGCCCAGGAAATCCTGTAAAAGAAGAGGCAGAAAGTGAAAGAATCAGAGAGGATGGAGAACGTCAAGAGGACAAGACCCTCTAAATCAACTGAGCAACACTCTTAACAAACTCACAGAGATTAAAGCAACAAGCACAGGACTTGGGATCTGTATCAGGTCCTCTGTATATTTATTAGAACTTTCAGTCTGGTATTTTTATGGGACTCCTGAGTGAATGAACAAATGAGTCTCTGATTTTTGTGCCTTTTCTTGAGGCTCTTTTCCTTCTGCTGACTTGTATTGTCCAACTTTGTGCATTGTTTCTTTGTTTTGTCTTATATTTTATTTTGTTATATAAAAACATTGAAAACTTCAAAATAACTCAAACAATACTGTAACAAGAGGGGCCAAAAAAAAAAAAAAAAGGAGGGGGAAGTGGTGTGGGATAATTGTCTGTATTCTGTCAATCGTGTTTTAAATAAACGTTGATTGGCCAGGTAGGAAGTATAGGTGGGAAAACCAGACAGGAAGTAGAGGTGGAGCAAACCCAGCCAGGATAATGAAAGAAAACACTTGTGAATTAAATATCTGACTGGTATATACAAATATATAACCCAGCTTAAAAGTGGACAAAGTTCTTCAAGAGATATTTCTTCAAAGAAGTTGATGGCCAACAAACACATTAAAAGGTTTTCAATATCATTAGTTATGAGATAACTAAGATAAAAAACTACACAGAGAAATCACTTTATAGTCATTTAAATGGCCATCATAAAAAAAGAGAAGACGCAATCATGCTGTGACAAAGTTGAAACTTTTTTTTCAACTTATAACTAAGT